CCAGGGGGAGGGCGGCGCGGGCGCGCGGTGGGAGTTGTTGTTGTTGCGAGCGCGCTCCTGCGCCCTCCGCAGCACGATGGGCGTGCCGGGCCGCTCGGGGTCCATGCCCGCCAGCTTGTAGCCAAAGCGCTTGTAGGCCGCCTCCCTGACCGCCGGGCCTCCCAGCCGGGCCTTCTGGCTGCCCCTGAGCCTCGGGGGCGGCTTCTTCTCTGACAGCGTCTTTTTGAGGAACCGCGCCAGCGAGGTGGCCGGGCGAGGCGGGGGGCGACCCAACTCGGGGCTGAAGCCCAGGCCCCGGTGGGCACCGAAGGCCGAGAGGGCCCGCTGGAGGTTGCGCTGGCGCGGCGTGAGGAAGCCCCAGAAAGGGTGGGCGTATGGCACCGGGGGCATCTCCTCCTCTTCCTCGTCTTCATCTGCATCCCCCAAAGGCAGAGGGATGTCCAGGGACGGGGGCAGGGGCACCTCCAACTTCTCCTTCCCAAATAGCTTCACCTGTGGCCGCGGGAAGAGGCGGAACCTGCGGATGAGGGACAGCTTGGACCTGGCGGGCTTGTCCATGCCCTGCTGCTCGAAGAAGGCGGCGCTGGGCAAGCGGAAGGAGGTGCTCGGCCGCTCCGCGCCCGCCTCCTCCGGCTCCTCCAGCTCCGCGATGTCATCCATGGGGTGGGCGTACGGGTTGTGAGGCGACAGGATGGGTGGCGGCACCCACGGGTACGCGAAGGACGACTCCTCCGGGTAAAGATAGGGCTCTGCCGGGGGGTAGATGGCCTGGTCCCCGCCAGCATAGATGCCTTCGGCGTAGGGGGCGCTATAGGGGGCGCCATAAGGCACCCCGTAGGGATCGAGGTAGGGTCCGTCATACGGGAGGTCATACGCGATGTCGTAGGGCGGGTATGGCGCATCATAAGGTACATAAGGATCCACGTAGTAGCCGTGCGGGTATGCCTCGCCCTCGGACCCGTCGTAGTAGCTGTAGGGAGATGCGTACCCCGACGGGGGCGCGTAGGGGGGCTCGTAATCGTCGTAGCCATAGCCGTAGCCGTAGGTGGGGTGGTAGGAGCCCCCATAATAGTCCAGGTGGTAGTAGTGATAGGGGTCTTCAGGCGGGTGCCCGTGGGGGTGGCCTCCGTAGGGTGGCCAGGCCGCGCTGTAGGGGCCGTAGCCGGACAGGTAGGGCTCCTGCTCCTCCTCGTACTGGTAGAGCGACTGCTCGTCGTAGTAGTCGTCGCCGTCGCGGTGGTAGTCGTAATACTCGCCCAGGTCTTGGAAGCCCTCCAGCCCGTACAGGGACTTGCGGGAGCCCGAGGGCTGGAACGGGGCCTCGTCCTCAAAGGGCAGGAAGCCCACGGGCTCGCCCGCCGCGTAGATGCTGCGGCTGCGGGGGAACCTCCGGAGGCGGCCTCCGTGCCGCAGGATCTCGGCGCCCGACGGGAAGGGCAGCTTGCGGGAGCCCACGCGGGAGCCGGAGCGGTTGAGCCAGGCGTCCAGCGTGGCCTGCTCGCTGCCCGACTCCTCGGCCTTCTTGATGAGGAACTTCTTGGTGAGCCAGTTGATGGCCGTGGACGCCTTGCTGAGCGACCGGGCGCGCGGCCGTAGGCGGCCGTAGCCGCGCCGCCCAGGGAAGCGGATCACCATAAAGGACGGCTTCTTGCCCTTCATCGCCCGCTTCTTCTTGCCCATGCGCATCTGCGTCATGAGCTTCGACGTCGACTTGAGCACGGTGCGCGCCTTCTTCTTGCGTTTGGTCTTCTGGGGGCCGGTGTGCAGGCCCCAGAAGAAGGCCGACGCGCTGCGGAATTGGCTCTTCTTGGAGATCTTGGGCGTGCGGTCGCGGAAGCCCATGAAGAGCCGCGACGTCCCCTTCAGGCTCCGTTTGGGCTTCTCCGGCTCCGGAGCCTTCTTCCCCTTCTTCCCTTTCTTGGCTTTCTTCTCATCTTCTTCCTCCTTTGCCATGGTGGCTGGGGCCGGTGCCACAAGCTCAAGGACTTGGACACACGGGGACCTGCTGAGTCTCCTGCCTGTGGCTGGACAGGCAGCCTCCTTGTGCTCAAAGCAGCTGGGACTGGCCTGGGTGGCCTGAGGAAGGACGGTCAAGCTTCTTCTGGCTGGAACCGGGATTCCAAGAGGGTGGATCCATAATTCATCTCCTCCAGGCGCCGCCTTGGGTTTCACCCTCAAGCGGTGGCGGAAAGTGCCTGGGTGTTGTTTACCGGAGCTGGGGAAGCCTGGCGGAGGCCTGCGCTGGGGGAACCATCTTGTCCCTCCAGTCGCCGGCGGGGATAACTATGCTGACATGGGTCAGGCCCTCCCTGTGCCTCAGTGGGTTCAGCCCACCCCAGTGAGAGCTTGGGTCATTGTCACTTCACAGAGGACCACCCTGAGCCCCAGAGAGGGGAAGCCACCAGCCCTAAACCAACCGGTATGTCTGTCCTGGGCCAGAAGGAGCTGGGTTTCCTGAGCCAGTGTGGGACGTTCAAAACCCACCAAGCCACCTTGGAGGGGAACCTCGGACCCTCCAGGTCTTGGGCAAGGGAGGAGGGGAGTGGCAGGGCAGGTGCCCAGGGCTGTGGTGAGTGTAACTGGAGCTGGCTGGTTCTGGGGAGCATGAATAATGCATTGGGGAGAACCAGGCTGTGGGCTCAGCAGGCAGGCTAAGATGCGGCCGTCTCAGTGGAACTCTGGCACGGCTTTGTGAGGCTACATGCTGGGGGGCTGGGGGAGTAGAAACAGAGGGTGGGTCAGGCCTGGCTCTGATCCCCAGCTCTGCCACTGACTGGCTGTGTGCCCTCAGGAAAGCCCTTTGCCCTCTTTGGGCCTGTTTCCTCATCTGTAGGATGGGAGTGATAAGCCATGCTTTGTCTCCTTAACAAGGAGGAAGCAAGACCTGATGGAGCACCTGAGTGGCTGGAGGTGCCACATGTGTGGCTCGTATCTGAGGTCCCGCCCCAGCCCTGGCCCCTCCTCCCAGTTTCTGCCCTTGCTGAGAAGGCAGTGGCTGTGTGGCCCCCTGCCCTCTCTGGGTGCAGCTGATTGCTCCAGGGTGGACACTTGACCCAAGGCCATGTGCCCACTGTCTGGCCAGTGACCAGTCCACTTTTGAGAATCTGCACTATGAGAGGTAGGGGCTGTGGCTTGTTAGTTGAAGGGGGCAGCGGGCAGCTCTGGGAGCTGAAGCCCCGGAACCTCCCTCCTCCCCCTCCCCCTCCCCCTCCTCCTCTCTCTGCCCAGAGATCAAGGATCAGGACATACAGGGCCCAGCGTGGCTGAAGACAGATCTCCAACTGATGTCAGGCTCTCCACTCACTGAACTGCTTAGTCTTCAAGTCCTACAGTGAATTCTTTGGTCGTTTAAGGTTTTGCCTAGGAGGCCTCAGAGCAGAGAGGCTCTGGTTCTGCCACCTGCCGACCCCATGCCCTCAGGTGGCTTCACAGCCTCTGCTTCCTCAGCTGTGAAATGGAGACAGCGAGAAGCCCGTCTCAGAGGAGGGGTGAGGAGCTGAGAGGTGAATGAGAAAAGTCTCTTTCTCCTCATCTCCTCTCCTCTTCTCCTCACCTTCTCTTCTTGCTTTTCTCCTCTTGTCTCTGCTCTTCATCCCCCAAGATTCACGCAGAGCCAGTCAGGTGCCCAGCAGTCCGGACGGGTTGTGCCAGGGGCTGGTGGTGCGGGCTGCAGGTGCCCCCCAGGGAGTTGAAGGGGCGCTTGAGGACACAGGTAGCTTCTGGGGGAGGTGTGCAGGAACCGGGCCTCCTGCAGTATGGGATGTTGAGGGGGCATCCACTCTCCCCCTCGCCTCCTACCCTGCCCACTCTCCAGCCTCGTTCCAGGCTGTGGCTGCTGCCCGCATGAGGAAAAACAAAGGGCAAAGGGTTCATTCTTCCTGAGCGCAGAGATGCCAACACCCACTCCTGCCCCTGCTGGAGCCCGTTTCCAAATTCAGGCTTCGGCCACTATTATCTCCTGAGATTCTCACAACAGGCCTGTGGAGTGAGCACTATCATCTCCATTCTCCAGATGAGGAAACAAATTCAGAGAAGTGAAGTGGCTTGTTCAAGTTCACCCAGTTTGGGAGGGCAGGCCTGGGTGGGTCCAGAGCCACCTTCCTTCCTCGGCCCTCCTGCTCCCTGAGCTCCTGGGTGCTTAGGCTGTCATTCGGGAGGAAAGCAGCTCTGGACACCAGCTGGAGGCAGCGCCTTAACCAAGCTCACCCCAGAGCCTGGGCCTTCCGGGAGTTCTGGGGCCGATGGCCCTGCTTGAGCCACTGGGCAAGCTGGAGACCCAGTGAGGCCTCCACAGTGCTCCTCCCTGACATGCCAATGGCGGTTGCCCAGGTCGGGTGGTTGCCCAGGTCGTGCGCCTCCTTGGGGCCCCCACCTGGGTTCCTCAGTCAGCCTGGCCCCTGCCCCTCAGGGTCCTGTAGCCAGCACTCATTTGCTTGTTCGTTCCTTCACTCGTTCAGAAGTATTTGCTGAAAGCCTTCCGTGCACCAGGCGCTGTCTAGGCATTGGGAACACAGCTAAGAAGGAAACAGATAAAAACCCTGCCCTCGTGGAGTCGACGTACAGGGGGGGATTGTCAACAAACAAGGAAAATAAGTAAAAGATAGAATTGGTCAGATGGTGATGAGTGCCGTGGATTGAAATAAAGCAGGGAAGGGGCATCGAGAAGTGGGGGGGTGTGCAATACTGAATGGGGGCTGGGGAAGGCGACACTGGGAAGTGACACGGGGGCCAAGAGCTGCAGGAGAAGAGGCAGCGAGCCGTGGGGGAAGCACAATGGTCCTGATGTGATGGAGGAAGAGCAAGGTCAGGGCGAAGGTGGAGGTGAAGTCAGAGGTGGGGTGAGCACCTGGCTTTGACCCTGAGTAAGGTCAGAGACTGGACCTCAGTCTTCACAGGACCCCCTGGCTGCTTTGGGGAAGACAGACTGCAGGAGGTGACGGCAGGAGCAGGGGCCGGGGTGGAAGCTGCCGTAGTGGTCCGGGGAGCGACGCCAGGGGAGGTGGAGAGAAAGGGTGGGATGCTGGTGACTTTTGCAGGCAGAGCCACCAGGATTTACAGGCAGGTCACAAGCACCTTTCCTTACTGAACAAGGGGGAGGACGGAGAGGCCATTAGCTGAGATGAGGAAGGCTGTGGGCAGAGCAGGTGGAGGAGGAAAGACTAGACGACAGCTTTGGACATGTTGGTTTCAGATGCCAGTTGGGCACTGCCAGGCAGTTGGGGGGTACATTGCAGAGATCGGGGCTGATGGCTTCAGTTAGGGAGGCGGTGGCCGGTAGCGGTGTGGAAGCCACAGTTCTGCAGGATGACGCCAGGGAGTGAGCCCTGGAGCTGCACTGTTTGGGGACCAGGAGGTGGTGAGGGGCTGAGTAGGAGGGCAGGGCAGCTGCAGCAAATGGGCACATGGGGCAGGTTAGGTGAGGACGGACAGCCAACCATTGGATGCAGCTACAAGGGTGGTCCAGGTGGAGTGGTGGGTGCAAGGGTAGTGACAGCCTGATGGGAGAAGGTTCGAGGAAGAAAAGACTGTGGTGGTCACAGAGCGTGCATGCCTGTGAGCATATCAAAACGCACTGCATCATACACAATTGAGTAGGTGAACCCTATGGTGTGTGAATTATATCTCAATAAAACTGTTACAAAAGAAGAAGGAAGCGAGGGAGGGAGAGAGGAGCCCACTGCTGGGAATCTATCCTCCAGAGCCCCTTGTGCACACGGGAAGGATGTACACACCAAGCTGCTTGTTGCTACGTGCACTATTGTACATTCCATGATGGAGTAGTACACGGCTATAAAAAAGAACGTGGAGGATCTCTGTGTACTGACAGTGGCTGACCCCCAGGATCTGCTAATGAACGGAGCAGGGCACAGAACAGTGCTGTCTATAGTATATACCTAGGCCTTTCTTTTTGTAAGAAGTGTGTGTGTGGGGGGGACATAAATTCATATTTGCTTTCATTTACATGTAGAAATACTGGGAAGGATACACAAGAAATTGATGAAAATGGTTATCTCGCTGTAAACCTTTCTGTCAGTTTGATATCTGACCCAGGTGAATGCATTTCCGATTCAAACACACAAAAAAGTAACTTTTTTTTTTTTTTGTGAGGAAGATCAGCCCTGTGCTAACATCTGCCAATCCTCCTCTTTTTTTTGCTGAGGAAGACTGGCCCTGGGTTAACATCTGTGCCCATCTTCCTCCACTTTATATGGGACGCCGCCACAGCATGGCTTGCCAAGCGGTGCGTCGGTGCGTGCCCGGGATCCGAAGTGGCGAACCCCAGGCCGCCACAGCAGAGCGCGCACACTTAACCGCTTGCACCACTGGGTCAGCCCCAAAAGTAGCATTTAAAAAATGAAAATGGGAACAAAGGAATTGGAGAGAGTGAGTGGAAACGCCCCCTTAGAGGAGATCCCGGAAGAACGGCAGGGCCTGAGACTGTAGGCTCCAAACCTGCCCCCCAGCTCAGTGTGACATTCGAGAAAACTGAGGCGGGAAGAGAGGGCAGGGAGGGTTCGAGCTCAAAGACCCCTCCCGGAGCCACACCCCCTGCCTGCCCCAAGGGGAGGGTCCTTGGCAGGCATCTTGGCGCTCCGAAGCCCCGTTGTTCAGATGAAGAGACTGAAGCGCGGAGAGGTGAACCCAGCTGTGGGAGGGCCACGCTCTCAGAGACGGAGCCCAGAGGAATAGGGGCTGGGCAGCTCGGAGCTCCGGGTCAGGTTCTGTTCCCATCCTGGTCTGACCACAGCAGGTCCTGCAGCCCCTGCACTTGGGTCTCCTCATCTGTAAGTGTGGGTGCTAATAGCAGCCCTACTCCTGGGGCTGATGTGAGCACTAAAGGAGGTAAACAGAGAGCCAGGCAGTGTGCCTGGCCCGGAATAAAGGCGGTTATTATTATAACTGCCATCATTGTTATGATAGGCCACTGCCCCCGTCTGCTCTGGGAAGGCCTG